GACATGTAGAATAAGTATGCTGATGCCTATTTGCCCCATATGATGGCAGTGATTGAGCATACTCAGTGTATGGGAGAACGGGAGGAGAGAGAAGGGATATCATAGTGAGGAGTGACTGATGTAGCTTAGACTCAGTGACAGGCAGATGGACTATCGAGGGCGGAAGTTTGTCTGTGCCCATGGCAGGACACACACACACACACACACACACACACACACACACACACACACACACACACGCACACAATTCCTCCTTCCCCTCTTGTAGAACCACCAAATGAGAATGAGCATCGATAAGAGAACACACAAAAGGTGGGGTGCAGGTCTGCTGAAAGGCAACAGGTGTGTACGCATCCTATGCTCGCATACCCAAAAATGATGTGCCTCGCACCTTTCAGAATACAAGAATGAAATGCCATTTCATTACAGCCGTCAAAACATCACAATATCATGATATATGTTGACATAAGTCAATATAAGAACATAGGGGAAGCCTATTTCAATTTGGATCTACTAATCTTGATTTGTTCCCGTGACAGTCTGTACAAGCACACACATAGTCAGACAAACTCACCAGGGAAAGGTGATTCCTTGAGGCCCATTCAGGTAATGAAGTTCTAACGCTGCTACAGCCATCAGGCCTATACCTGTATCTGTAGGCCGCCTCCTCGGCCGTCTCTACTTCACTCCCTGGCACTGAGGATTCAATGCTTGTTGCTCTACCACCGCTCCCACCAAGCTTTGCTCACCGCCAGCCTGGCAACCTATGAGTGCTAAAGATCGGACCGATCTCTTCAGTCTCTATTCAGCACCCCACAGATCTGAGAATAATCTATGGTCCAAAGTTAAGGGTGCGGTCACAATCCTCCGAGCCACATGGTCCAGACATCATGGTCTGAATACTGACCACCACTAAGGACCCAATGGTGCATTAGCAGGTGAATCCGGAGCAGGTCCAGAGCCTGACTATCTCTGTAGACCTTATCCTACCACCTCCTACACTCCCTAGCGCTCAGAATTCCCCATTTGTTGCTCTATGAGCACTCGCAGCCAGCTCTGTGCTCTACCAGCCTGGCAACCTACAAGCGCCAAAGTCGGCGACCAGCACTTAATGCATAGTGCTGGCATAACATGTCTTCAGTCTCAGTTCTGCAGGACACAGATCTAAGGACAATCTGCGATACGAAGTGGAGGGTGTGGTCGCAATCGTCGCACACGCACTGTCCAGAAATCATGGCGTGGATGTTAACCAGCACCCAAGCACCCGGTCCACGGCCTGCAGATGTGTTCTAAATCTCGTTTGTTAAGTTGTTAAGAGTCGCCTCAGACCGTCCCATGGCACAATAATAGCTCCAGCGCTAAATCTCATCTCCCAGCCAGACATAGGCAACAGTAGAAAAGACAATGCCACAGCAACATAATGAAACACAGATAGTAATGAAAATCAATGAGGTCACTGCAGAAACACAAAATGAGTGTCACGGATCTGGCCCACACATGGTCAGGCCACCTCGGTGGCCCAAAGCCACCCAATCCCATATCGTTTTGCTCCTCGACAACACATAGACGTCCAAACTCTACTACATCAGCTTCTCGCTTGCGTGATGCCTTCCGTTTTTGGAAATAGAAAGCACTTAACACACTAATAAACTAAAACCCTCCTGCTGCCATGGCTGTCCAGCATCAAGCTTTCGGTGGTCCGCAGTGCTCCGCACACAGCCATTCCCAAGGATTAAAGATTTTCACTTACCAAACAGCTTCTGCATGCTGCTCCTCCCATTCTGCCAAGAGCTACCCAAATGGAAGTCGCGCAAATCATGATCGTGAGCAAACCAGAAATGGGTACAGAGGGTCATAGGTTCAGATCCTCTCAACTGAAACCTCCTCCGCCACTTCTTTGGGATGTCCTGATAGTCTCTTTCAGTTATGGGCCTTATGGCCATGCCCTTGAATTTCATAACTGTGCCACATCCCTCTGCAAGAGGATGCATTACAACTCCTACACTCGTGCAATGCCATCTCTCCAGTTGGGACGCCTGCTCAGATGTAAGTTGCAACAGCATTTCCGTATCGTCGCACTGCGGCTAGCGGAGTTTGGAGATCTCCTGCGCCGTTGCGCTAGCATAGGCAACCCATTGTAAAGGTGGTCTGGTCCTCAGCAACTCTTGAGATTTCTTGGGCTGTTCCCTGGCAATCATTGAGCTTTTCAGGGCTTTACGATGCGTGAGAGAATATCCCTCCGCAAGGAGGATGCATTACATCTACAGTCGCGGGATGACATCTCCTACAGTCGGGAAGCCTACTAAGATGTAAGCTGGGACGAGATTTCGGTATGACGACACCAGGGCTAGCCCAGTTCAAAGATCTTTTGAACTGCTGTGCGCGCATGTAAACACTTCAACCCATCGTAGAAGTGGTCTGATCTGGAGTGCATGTCTGGCCCCCGCAACTCTTAAGATTTCTGGGGCTGTTCTATGGAAACCATTTAGCTTTTCGGGGCTCTAAGACGAGTGAGAGCGTACGATGTTCTCAGGTAAGCATTAAGCTTCTTGGAAAGCTTTTCAGGGCTCTAAGATGGGTGAGAGAATATCCCTCCGCAAGGAGGATGCATTACGTCAACAGTCGCGGGATGACATCTCCTACAGTCTGGAAGCCTACTAAGATGTAAGCTGGGACGACATTTCGATATGACGACACCAGGGCTAGCCCAGTTCATAGATCTTTTAAACTGCTGTGCGAGCATAGGAAACACTTCAACCCATCGTCGAGGTGGTCTGATCTGGAGTGCATGTCTGGACGCCGCAACTCTTAAGATTTCTGGGCCTGTTCTATGGAAACCATTGAGCTTTTCGGGGCTCAAAGATGAGCGAGAGCATACGATGTTCTCAGGAAGCCATTAAGGTTTTTGGAAAGCTTTTCAGGGCTCTAAGATGGGTGAGAGCATATACTACATCATACCATCTTTATGCGAACTCTTTTGTATATCCGCTTTTTTCCTTGTTATTTCCTTGTTATCTTTCTGTTATCTGCTCTCACACCGAAGGCATTGACGAGTTGCTTTGCAAGAGAATAAATGCAGGTGCACTTTATCTTGCAGATGCAGTTACCCCTTCAGGCTCAACAATGCAACATATGGAAGCTTTGCACTTTATCTAGCCATCATTCTTTTAATCAATTTGATTATATCTGCTTCTTCGAGCTTTGGTTAGACAGACAAAGACGGTGACATGCGCACAAACATTCATAAGTTGCCGGCAGCTCGGCCACACCACTAACACGCACACGATCACCCGCACACAAACATTCACAATTCCCCAGCACCTAAGCCACACCCCAAACATGGAGCAGTCTTTCACTCAAGTACAGCACTCAAAACATGCTGACACAACCAGCCACACCCCAGACATATATCAGACTTCGCTTCATCACAGCACTCAAAACATGCTGGGACAACAGACCATGCAAGGGTGCTAGATCCGAAAAACAGCCACAGTGACACCCTCATGTCTTGATACTATACTCGAACAGTGCAATTGAGAAGGAAATACACGGGCTGTCGACGCCAAAAATGTGGATGACTGTCCGTAAACGGCGTAAAGCTGATAATCTCTGTGAACTGTGGATTGGCGTGAAATTGCAGTCAGGAAACTCTACGTCTGTTACGGACTACTAGCAGCAATTCCACAAGAAGATAACGGGTCTGTCTTGAGGCCATGACATCCAACAAAGGGAAGCTTCACAATCAAGAACAACCAACTTTGCTCACACCCCAAGCACAAACAACTCCCTTCTGTCATATACTCTCAGTGAATGTGAAATTACCATCACGAAAGTCTAAGGCTGTTACTGGCAGTTGAAGCGATTGCACACTACCAAATTGTCCGTCCTCAGGCCATGATTCCAACAAAGGGCAGCTTCACGATCATTCGACAACTCTGCTCCACACCCCCAAAACACACACCCCTCCCACCTGTCAGCCTCAGGGAAGACTTTGTATCCGGAACTTGCAACATGCACAACTTTTCACCATTGGATTGTTCGTCCTCAGGTCATTGCTCCCAACGAAAAAGCAGCAATACACGCATGAGCACTCTACCCTTGTCCAAACCCTTGCGCACATGTAAGCCAACCTTCCTGTGGCTACACGTACACCTTAAGGTCTGTTAATGGCGGCTGCAGCAAATCCCCACCGTTGGGCGCTTTGTCATCACATGATTATGAGAAACAAACTCACAATCATCAACACCTCAATAGAAGTCCCCAAAATTCACCAAGCCCTTCCGTGAACCTATTTACCAGTTTCAAAATAGCGGGACCAGTGCTTCCTACAGATCTCAGGAGAAACTTCACAAATTCACACTCATGTTGAAGCTTTCCATTCATTTATAAGCCAAGACTTTTGACAGGATTTGAGCTGTTGCAATCAGTTGAATTGCATTTTTTCCACGAACACGAAGGTACAGATGAGTTCCCTAGTGGCCATTCACATGCTGTTTTGCACTTTTGTGCCTTCTATGACAAACAGAAATACGAAAAACGACTATGACAAACAGAAATATGAAAAACGAGTGTTGCAGGAACACACACACACACACACACACACACACACACACACACACNACACACACACACACACACACACACACACACACACACACACACACACACACACACACACACATACACACACACACATACACACACACACACTCACACACACCAATGCGCCTCAGTAACATCTAGGAAATAGGTAAAGAAGTAAAGAGCTTCAGTGACAAGCGTCGTGTTCTGAACATTATTACTATTTAGGGAATTCTGAAGCTTGTAAGGAGTCATTCATACAAAATAACAGGGAGAGAGAATCGTTGAAGCGTGTGAGGCAAAGAGTACCTCACAGAGGTGTATAAAGGTCACATGGGAATAAGATTATGTGGGTGGTGGTTGCTCGATCTGCAGATCGATGGACAAGGGTGTTGACTTGGTAGATGGTGGATGGTCACCTCCCGCATGATCGCTTCATAGGCACGCCCCGGCAAGCGGGTAATAGCAGCACCGCTATCAACAAGCGCACCACGTGTTGCGCAAGATCCATTCAAAACACCAAGCCGAGTTTTCCCAACGCTTACGTCATTGAAATCCACATAGTATTTCAATCTGCACATTGCCAAACAAACATGCCCTCCTCTTATCAGTGCTTATAAATGGCAGTATATCCAACACCTCAGCAACATATCAATCACATTGTCAAAATTGCAACAACAAGCATGCAGGCAACACCGCAAAGTCCAGACCTCTTTTCCCAGGGAACAGGATAAGGAACTGACAATCAAAAAAGGGCTTCTAAATTCTAATGCTGCTGGGGTGCCACCTGTGGATGAAAGTTTCAGATGCAGCGTTTGCGCACGTGGAAAACGAGAAACACAGTACACACTCCATTAAGCCAAAACGTCCCCGGAATCCCCGAGATATATTTCCAAGTGTGAGGTAGGAGGGTTGCATGAGGGACGCTGGGCCCGGTTCCCAGCACATACTGCTCGCCACAAATAAATCAGAGCAATTGACCCAAAAAAAAAAAAAAGGGGGGGGGGGGGGGCTCCCGGAGCTGAATGCACTCGATTTGCCAAAAACACCAGTGCCCTAAGAAGTAAAGGGCAATTACTGATTACTTGTATAATGATAAAAAATTGGTACAGTTCTAGCTTCTAACACATGCAGCCAAAGAGCAAATAGATTAACTATTCCACACGACCATTCTCCACACGCTCTCGCCATCACCGGCATCCTCCACTTGCTTGCATTACTGCGACTTTGCTGAACTCTGCCAGGGTGATACTAAGTGACAGGAACTGGCACTGTTCTAGCATAACTCAGCCAAGAATCCCCAAGATATTCTGAAGTGAGAGACAGGAGGGTTTCCGGACTTAAAAACCAACTCCGTTTACCCAAAACACCCATGGTCTAAGAAGTTAGGGTTGGTTACTTAGTGACAAAAACTGGTAATGAGTCCTCAGGGACATCCATTAAAATTGGAACGGTACACAGAAGATTTGCATGGGCCCTGTGCAAGGATGACAAGCATAAATCGAGAAATGGTCTAAATTACTGAGTGGGGATCCAGGCCGACCGGGTGACAGGCAGGGGCCCGGGGAGGTCCCAGGCGGCCTGGCCAGGCAGGGCACCCAGTTGGGAGCCGGCCCCCCCCCAGTGCACTCACCTGCCGGGGGATTTCGGACCCCCTTTGTGTGTGTGTGTGTGTGTGTGTGTGTGTGTGTGTGTGTGTGTGTGTGTGTGTG